AACCTGAAACGGGAAGCTTATGATGATTTGGTGTGCGCCATATATCATGAAAAGGAGAAAGCTGGGCAGTGGTGATGCTGATAGGAAAAATTCTATCGCTGAATTTGCAGGGGGCTTTAGGGAAACAAAAGCTAAGATGACAAGAATTGCTTTGAGGAAAGCCAAGTAGTATGAGGAATCTGGCATGTCTGATTCGATGGAAAATTCCAAAGGCAAAGGTGGCTGGCCTTCAACAGCCCCACCAATCTCATGAAAATCATATCGTGGAATTGTCAAAGACCTGGTGGTTGCTTTGACAATTAGAAATTTGAAAGACTGCTATAGAAAAGTCAGACTTTCGATCATTTTTTTTTTTAATGGAAACAAGAATGAGAAATGAAAAATTGAAAAGATTTGGGAGCTTGCAACATGGATTATGAATTATATGTGGAACCTCGTGGAGAATCTTGTGGATTGGCTCTTTGGTGGCAGAGTGGTGTAGCTATTAAGGCTCTGTATCAGTCAATAAATTTGATCCATGCTAAAGTCAAATCTGTGGGATTTAAATGTGCCTTCTTTCATTACTTCTATTTATGGTGCTCCTAAAGAAAATGATAGAAATCTAGTTTGGAACAGACTTCAATCTTCAGCTGCTTGAGTGGCAAAATACTGATATAATCACTCTGATTCTGGACATGTTGAAAACAAGACCTTATGCTGACTTTACTTTGTATTTGTACTTACCAGCCTTATTTCTTTGCTGGTTGTTTCCCTTTAATAAATATATTTGTTATTAAAAAAAATATAAAAAGTTGGGAATGCTCATAGGTCTTAGATAAGAAAACTAAATATGGAGATGTCCCAAAAATTTCATATTTATAAGTTGACTTGCTTTTTTTTTTTTGGTTGCCAACAATTGACTTGCGTTATTTACAAGTCAAACTCACATATTTATTAGTTGAGTAACTAGCATTTAGTTCCTGTGCAACACACGGAATGAATTAACTTCAATCTATGGTACTCCTCTGGTCCTATTTATAAGACACTTCCAGCATGTTTCATATAGACTAAGAAAAACCTTAAACTTTATTAACTCTCATTTAAAATTTAATGACTTTTTAACTTTATCTCTATTTAGTATATATTATACCTCATATCAACAAAGCCAACACAATAATAAATGAAGGGTAAAATTGTACATCCATATAAAAAATTTCTCTCAGTGCTCTATAAATAAGACCAAAAAATACCTTCTTTTTCTGCTTTATAAATAGGACAAGAGGAGTATTAAATATTTTTTCCTCAACAAATACGCGGCTACTGACATAGCTACCTCCTCCATCCATTTACTCATACTACATCAAACATGAATTGTAAACATGTCGTTATATGAACCTAGGACATTTTTTTAAAGACTTGTCCGTATTTATTTTTTTAACCTAGAATATAACATCTGAGTAGAATAAATAACTCTAGATGATGATTATACAATTAAGATTACTCATTTTTTTTCCATTATCGTCTCAATAGCCAAATAATGCTCAAACATCTTTTCTTTTCCTCAATCATATACTGCCCAAAAAACCACATCAAGTGTTCTTCTGGGAAAGGAAATGTAATTTATGGGCATGTAAAATAAACAACTTAATTATATTCTGTTATTTACCTTTACTATGAATCGATGATCAGCAGAAGGATGATGATTTGAGCTTTTGAAACTAAGGTGAAACAAACAAAAGTGCAACCTAAGAGGCTTTGGGGGGGAAAAAAACAAAAGTTATGTGTACTAGGAAAAAAATTATTCCTTGATCAATATTAATAGAACGAAAGAATCTCTGAACTAACTAATGTTTACCTCCAATATATACACACAACCTTGATGATATGCCGGGAATTCAAGCAGTGAAGGAAGGCTAAGAAAATGGTTGACACTGTTGGTACGTATATGGTTTTTGGAATTTGGAGGAGGCAACAATTAGCTCAACAACACAAGCAAGAACAAACGATAAATGAATTGGAGTGAATATATATAAGAATAAAGTCTAAACTTGTTGATAAATACTTGTAGGAATTTGGGATTCTGGATTTATAACAGTCTGCAGTATTTTATAACATAGAATGATCAAGTCCAAGAAAAGTCTTATGTTGGAACGATTAAAGGAAATTTCTATCACTAGAAGCTTCAGAAGGGTGATGCAGGTGAAGAAAATGTGAGTAGGGCCTCAAAACAGATAACGGGATTCAAATATTCAATAAATCTTTTTTTTTTTCAAATTTGATGTGGATTTTGATATTCTTTTATGCATTTATTTTCCCACACACATCCAACTTAATTGTTTGAAAAAGTAATGTGCAAACAAAAACCTACTCTTCACAGCACCAGCTAGAAAATGCTAGCCACTAGCTTTTATTCATTCTACTTAGTTTTAGAGATCAAAGCACATGAGAAGTAAAAGACATATAAAACAAAACCAAAAACCCAAAATCCTCGATGATATTAATTTTAGGCAAAATATATGCGTAAAAGATGTTTACCAGAAATATCAAGCCAATAGCACAGCTGTGCCATGGGCCAAGTGGAGAGTTACTATCAGTACTCAATCTTGAATCTCCTTTTTCACGCCTATGAACTAGCAATCACAGCCAATCTCAAATGGGTTGTGCGAGAATTGTAATGGAATGAAAGCATAAAGCCAGAGAAAGAAGAACAAATATTAATTTAGACTTCTACAGTTATAGCAGCATTCAGTATTTTATTTAGAGCTTAGATACTCTAGGAAATGTTTTTTTTTTAATTTACAGAAATCTTACACTAAATAGCTTGATTCCAGGATTTTTCCTTGAAAACAGCTTTAAAACTTGATCAAGTTAACTTGGTATATTTTACAGTTGAACTATTATAATATACTACCTCTGTTCCATAATAAAAAAGCTAATTATATAGTCAATTTGGTCCTGAATATAAGACTTTAATATACTTTATCTACCATATTAATTCATTTTGCCTCCAAGTAATCCCTATGTTGATTACATATGTTAAAGGGTTTCTATTAAAGATAATTCCAATACACATAATTAATAAAGATATTTTTAAAAAGAAAGTACTCATTCATAACTAATTAACTATTTTTCTTAATATTAACATATTAGTTATGTAGGTCATTTAGAACAAAGCAGTGGTCAGAAAGTATCCCCTAGAAGTCTTCTGGATCTGAGGCATCTTACTGACAATTAAGCTAAGTAGCATTTCTCTTCATCCAGAGACTTATAATGTATGAACCATCAATAATATTATTTTTCTTCTCTTCTAAATGTCAATCATGGCTGAAAAAGGATTTCAGTTTAATATATTTCAGGAATTTATCGGTCTACTGATAATATACTAACGGATAAGAAGTTAGATAATTGCAGTTATTGCTGATTCTGATGGTTTAGAATCAGAGGGGTGGGCATCCACAGTCCGAGCTGGCATCAAGATCCCATGCATGTGGAGCAGCCTTGTGAGTACACCATGCAAAGCAACAAAACTTCTGCACATATCTTGCTTCTTGGCATTCAGAAGCCATCCATTATCAGTGAATCAGGGAGATCTCCACCGGAATGGTAGAAGAAGAACAGAGCTTGAATACAAAAACTGCTCCGATGAACGGTGGAGGTGCCTTTGATTCCGAGAACGGCTACGATTGAGCAAATTCCTATAATTACAACAAATATAAAAAGTAATATTTGATACGATGGATGATATTCCTGTTAAGAGAGGTTGTTGAATAATGAAGTTAAATTCTCTTTAAAGGTCTTTCTTCATGGACGAGATCCAGGCAGAAAGCTAGATTCTTGCTTTTAAACCAGCGTTTAACCATTCATCATACTTTATGCTCTAGAACATAGCTTACCATGCACTGACTTTAGGCATGTGTGAGCTTATCTCTGGCTTCTGACCTTGACTGAAAACTCGGTGACCATGTTTCAGTGTTTTTCTATTTTCCTCTTCTTTGAATACTCTTTCTTTATTCAAGTTTTTCCTCTACCATTGTTCACTTTCCAGCGGGAGATTTAAAAGATCTATACCTTTTTAATGAAATACTGATAAGTTTTCCAATATAACTTCAGGGATGAAAAATCCGCTTACCTTGATGAGCTATGTAACTCCAGTAATGGCAGGGGCAACCGCTCTTCTCTCTCTTGCATTGGATCCATGGGGGAATTCAGGCAAAACGAATATTTTAATAGTCCATGGCATATTACTCAGAGTTGTTTACTAATGCTTTTAGGTGGCGCACTTGCTTTTCTTATGGTAAGAGTAAATGTTCCCTTTCCTAGGACATGACATTACATTATTAATTGTTTGACTTTTGCTTCTTTGACATTTAAGCTTTCAATTTTTTCCTCCTCTCAAATCAGTTTTCAAAGGTGGATCTCCTTTTTGCAGGTCCTAACAGGGTATGTTCTTGTCTCAGTAACTAGTGCAGTCACCGTTACAATTGCTGGGGTTGTTAAGGAGTCTGTCACCATATTGGTATCATTTTTTTTACCTTTTCTATGCCAGTTTGTTGACATGAACATCCAGTGGCTACCCCCCTTTATTTTGGTCTGTCTCATATTTCTAAAGAACCTAGTTAAGGTGTCAATTTTGTGCTGATGTCATTCATGACTCATGAAAAAAATTACTTAAGAAGGCTTCCAAGTTACTTGACACAGATTGTGCATTATAATTTGATTAGTTTTTAGGTTGTTGTATTCAGCTTTCTATAATATTGAGTTGATGGTTTCCGCATTTGCTGATTTGGCGGTGTGGTGGGGTTTAAAAGGTTTTTATATACGACCGCACCCTAGCTGCATTGAAAATATTGATAATTGTAACTAGTTGTAATTAGTAAATTTGATGAGGATGGGAAAAACAAATGTTTCATGCTGTTATATATTTTTCTACTCATTGAAGTGCTTTATATGCAAAATTAAATTTGATTTTTTTTAGGTTGTTAAATTGTTGTCATATATGTTTAATTTTCATGTTTGTGTAGGTTGCTGTCCTGTACTTTCATGATCAATTTACTTGGTTGAAAGGACTTGGTCTCTTCACTATCATTGTTGGTGTTGGTTTATTCAATTGGTACAAGTAAGTCATTAACTAATGCGCTTCTCAACAATTTATTTTGGTATTTGGTCATAATTTTCTTCCTTCTTAATTTAATTTAGAGCCTCGAACTTCAAGGATGGTGATGGTCATGCTCTCTCCATTTTGAATGGCAAGTACTGGAAGCTTCAGAAGGGTGAAGCGGGTAAAGAGGATGTGGGTGGGACCTTCAAAACAGATTCGGCTACAAAGTATGTTATCCTTGATGAGATGGATGAGCAAGAAGAGAGTTCCTGATTTATGAAGTCATTGTTAAAATCCACCGTTCAAAAGTAAGTCGCTGCATGATTTATTCATGTTGATGATTGGAATCTTAATTTCTTTGGCCGTGTCTGGAGTCACCACAGACGCTTTAAAAAATTTTCTGCTTTTCTTCCTTTAAATCTTTTTTATGTTAAAGCAAGCGATATAGAGTATAATTTCGTAACACGTGTTTCTAATTTCCCGCTGAAAGAAATATATCGTTTGAGGACACGTAAGATAAATAAATAATTAATTAGCTATGTATTCTTTAATTATATATGGGGACACCAATTCTAAAGTTCAAGTAATTAATTAGCTATGCTGGTAAAAAACAAAAAATAATTAGCTATATATTCTTTCCTTAATAACATACATTGCTTTAGCTTTATTTTATATATATTAGATATATGTTATTTTATTCAGGTTTATTTTAATCATGCCGTCCTTTTCTTGAAGAGGAAGAAAATGAAAGTGTATTCCCTTCTTCCTTTGGGTCCCAAAGTAATTATTAATTTCGATTTTAATACATAAAGGAGAAGAAGGATACGATAGAAGTCACAAACAATGAAGTTATTCCTTACGTAATACGTTGTAATTAATATACTACCCCGATCCTAAATACTCTTCTAATCCTTAATATAAGAGCTAATTATTGAGTTGATTTTGATCTTAAATATAAAACCTATTTCACACATTTATCAATTTTTCTTAAATTATCCTTATAGATACTCCTTCAACCATAATCAAATAGAAAGTAGAAAATAAAGAGAAGATATTAAGAAAAATAATTGTGGCGTTTTAAAAAGAACACGTCATATTTCTTATAATTAACTAACTTACGTAATTTTCTTAATCTAATCAAACTAGTTAAGTAAGTCTTGTATTAAAAACTGAAAGAGTATATTATAAACTCTTTAAGTGAATATATGATTGGAATTTGTTCTTGACTTGAGTTCTTATAACTATTGATACACCAATTCTAAAGTTCAAAGTAAGCTATATTTAATTCAAGGCCAAAAAAATTAAGGTATAGTTATACTAATTCCAAATTCAGAATAATGTCTCAAGCATGACGCGCACGTACAATCTGTACAAATTTGAGATTGAATGAACAAATAATTCATTTTAATTATAAATATATTTCTCAGATGTTGTAGTAAAACAATTTATAAAATTTCACATCCCAGTTTAATTAATTAACTAACGTTATAAATAATTTATATGCTATATACTACTATTATTTATCTGTAATACATAAGTGAAGAAAATTATGATGATAATTTTTCAAGCCGTAGGAGAATGAAGCAAAGCACAAGAAAACGACTTAATCTAATTTAGTGAATGCCAAAAGGTTAAAAGAATAAGTCAAGATGATGACTTTGTAAATGTGAGAGATTTAATTGTGAATTAGTAAATTTTTTTGCCAACGTTAAAATATTTATATCTTAGGAGAATTATTTGTAAATTAAAGAGGTTGATTTTTAAATCTATGAGGTTTATTTACAATTTGATTAAATTTAAATTGTAAATATTAAAGTATTAAAATATTTAATAAAAATTAATCTTTAAGAATTTATTTTCATGACTGGTTTACGTCTATATCATTTCATAAGAAAAAATAATCATAACCAAGTCTTGAGCTATTTCGGAGTAATGTTTAAGTAAATTCACAAAACTATTTAAAATAAATTCTTCATTTAGAACTTATATATGTAATTACCATTTTTCCAAATAATAACACCACCTAGTAATCTTGGTAAATGATAATTACGTATTATATAGAAATGTCAACAAGGAGAGAAAAAGTCGTCCAAGCCAAAACTGAATGCATTTTTTGTGACTGGCCAAAGTACACGCAAATCTAAAAATCATTATATACTTTTATTTTAATAGAAAAAATAAAGCTTTTAATAATCATATTAATAAATTTTATTGACTTAAATTAAAAATATATGATTACTTATAAAAAAAATAAATCAAGTTAATTTCAGAAAAGTATAAGAAACCCATCTAATAAATCCATTATTTAATGTACAAATATTAGTTCCTTTGATTGAAAAACAAATACTTTGCATATGCAAAAAGATTAGGTGAGACTTGAGTTTGTAATAAAATTATTCGTTATTTAAGAATCTGAATATTGAGTTCAAATGATAATCAAAAAATATAACAGACGAGACAATAACATGTAAAGTAACGAGATGATAATGAAGGTAACGGTATCCTTCGATCATAAAAGAAGTGAAAAAAGAAGTCCTTCATCAAGCTAAATTAAAAAAAATAAATAAATAAATAAATAAATTAGTTAGATGACTTAATCTAATATAATCGTTGCTTCCCTCAAATGTAATGATAAAATTAGACAAATAACGCAGAAATGTCCTCCGAAGTGACTCTCAAATCAAATTAAGAGATTATGCCGAACTACACACAAATGGCAAACAACAGTTCACCCAATTAGCACAAACATACGAGATATATACATATATATATTAATTTTCAAAAAATTTAAAGTCTTGAACTTTATTATTGTATAATTATTGACGACCCGAAAAAAGGACCAAAAAAAAAAAGAAGCTCATGTACACTTAGAAAACGGTAGTTATTGAAACAGTATTCAGGTTGATGATAGGGAAAATGACAACAAAATACCACCTGAATTCCAAAAAGACAAATAAGGGACCTGAATAAGCAAAATAACAAATAGGGCACTGGGTACCAATTTGGAATATAGATTTTCGGCCAAAAGACCGAATTGCCCTGATTGTCTCTGAACATTGAGCAGTGTATTCATGCGATAGAGAAAGGGAGAAACTGATTTCCTTCTACGAAACTAAATCCAAGTTCCTGCATCACCAAAAAGGATTTTTCGAAATCACGTTGCCGTCGTCGTAGGAGTAGATTGCCATCGCTGAATTTGGTTACCATCGCTGAAATACATTGCCCTGTCTGAAATAACTTGTACCCCCTGAAATTGTCGTCGTCGAAGAGGTCGCTGAAGTATTTGAATTATTCATGAGTGAGTAGAAGTTGATGGCGGGATTTGGATTATTTATTTTTGTGGCTGTTTCATGGTGAAATAGGAACAGGATTATTGCATTTGAGGGTTCATATTCAGTATTTGGTGAATGATGAAGCATAAATCAGAAAATAGTCACAAGCAATTACGTAATGTAATTGCTGTCATATGTTTGCTGGTTTTTGGTAAATCCCATTCCGTGAATGGTAAATCACATTCTGTGAATGGTAAATTTTAATATACATGTAGTTAATTATGAAACTTAATAGTTCAATGTTTATTGTGATGTACTTCAGGTGCACGTTCACTGAATGATTTATTTATGCTTACAAGTTGCTCTTCTGGTGAAAACAGGTTTACAAAACCCATTGAAGAAGTGGTCACTTTCACTATAAAAGTTGTAAATCCTATTATGTATTTTGTAAAATTCAGTGTGAAATTTTATTGGTGGTGAAAAGTAAGTTACTCATCCCCCGAAAATATGTTGCAAAATCTATTAACAAAGCAGTCACTTTATCACAAAAGTTGTAAATCCCAGTATATATTTTATAAAATTCAACGTGAAATTTTATTGGTTTTTAGAAACAAGTTACCTATCCCCTGAAAACAGGTTACAAAAGCCATTTAAGAAGTGGTCATTTTCACTATAAAAGTTGTAAATCTCACTGTGTGTTTTGTAAAATTCAGTGTGAAATTTTATTGGTTTTTAGAAACAAGTTGCTCATCCCCTGAAAAGAGGTTGCAAAATCCATTTAAGAAGTGATCATTTTCACTAAGAAAGTTGTAAATCTCACTACATGTTTTGTAAAATTCAGCATATAATTTTATTGGTTTTTATAAACAAGTTGCCAATCCCTTGAAAACATGTTGCAAAACCCATTGAAGAAGTGATCATTTTCATTATGAAAGTTGTAAATCTCACTATGTGTTTTGTCAAATTCAGCGTGAAATTTTATTGATTTTTAGAAACAAGTTGCTCATCCCCTGAAAAGAAGTTGCAAAATTCATTTAAGAAGTGATAATTTTCACTACAAAAGTTGTAAATATTACTCTATGTTTTGTAAAATTCAGCATAGAATTTTATTGGTTTTTAGAAACAAGTTACCAATCCCTTGAAAACATGTTACAAAACCCATTGAAGAAGTGATCATTTTCACTACGAAAGTTGTAAATCTCACTATGTGTTTTGTCAAATTTAGTATGAAATTTTATTAGTTTTTAGAAACAAGCTGCCCATCTCCTGAAAACAAGTTACAAAACCCATTGAATAAGTGGTCATTTTTACTACGGAAGTTGTAAATCCCACTATACGTTTTGTCAAATTTAGCGTGAAATTTTATTAGTTTTTACAAACAAGTTGTTTATCTCCTGAAAACAGGTTGCAAAACCCATTAACAAAGCAGTCACTTTCACTACAAAAGTTGTAAATTACAATATGTATTTTGTAAAATTCATAATTAACTACATGTATAGTAAAATTTACCATTCACATAGTGGGATTTACCATTCACGTAGTAGGATTTACCAAAAACCAGCAGGCATATGACAGCAGTTACGTAACGTAATTGCTTGTCATTGTTTTCTGATTTCCACTTCATTTTCCCCGCAGGTTCACTCCCTCTCTCACTACAAATCCTCTTTCCCACAATCAAAACCCACCAAATCAACAATCTCTACAGAATGGTGATGCGAAAGAGTAAAATAATAGCATTTCCAACAT